AGATGTCACACTGGAGTGAAGGAGGCCACACCACAGCTGAGTGGAGAAAGTTGGAACAGCTGCTAGCAAACATGGGTGATTCAGCTACTTCTCCAAGTGATTAACAGCCAAAAGAAAAGAGAAAAAGATGGGGACCGAGGCATGGCTTCTTACTTTTCTTACAGTGCCGTTTGGGGCTCCCTTGAAGGTGCCCCTGGTCCCCTGGTACCCCTGAAATAAGCAGCAAGGATGGAGCATGACTTCTGAAGGTCAGGGCAGAATACCAGGCCTAGAAGCATCAGTTTCTTTGCTGCATGGCTGAGTCACCTGGGAATGAGAACTGGGGCTCACACCATGACAGCGCTGGCCACAAGGGGTCCCCGCTGACACTGACAACAAGAGGTGGCTAAAATTAAATGACTCACAGGACACTGCTCCAGCTGAGGAAACACCCTTGGTAGGCGAACAAGGTCACTTTACCTTAACTCAAAACCAAACCAGAAAGAAAAAAATAAATGTCCAGTGGCATCCTGCAGTGGTCCAGCCAAGAGGAAAATTACTTGGGAGCTCATGCTTCCAGAGACCAGCATCTAGTTATCTACCTTCTGCAAACAGCTTTCCTAGAGTCAAATATGGGCCTCTCCCAACCAATCAACTTCTTCCAAGCCCCCCAAGGCCATAGCAAACAGTTCAGGAAGGACAAATGCTCCCATCATGAATGACACTCAAGGATAAGGCTTTGTAGAACTTTCTAGTTTTAGAAGACTGTAATTCCACTATGTGGCAGGCAGAACCCTAAAGATAACCCTAGAGTTTCTATACCGTAGTTATTCAAACACTAATCTATGCACGGCTATGAAGAGATTCGCCCCCCCCCCCCCCCGCAAAACGTAATTGAGCTCTAAACCAGCTGGCCAAAGATATAGCCATCATTTGTGTGTGCTTAGTCCAATCAAGGAAGATCTTTAAAAGTAGTGTCTCTTCCAGCTGGTGGCAGAAAATATCAGCTCAGAGCAATTAGAACCATAGGCAGATTTCAAATGCTACAGCTGACTTGAAGATGGAGAGTCACATGAGCCAAGTGTGGCAGACTTTGGAAGCTGAACGCTATGCCTAGCTGCCAAGCAGCAAAGGGGCAGAGAAGACAGTCTTGTGACAAGAAACAGATAAAGCAACTACCTGGAGGAGCTCACAAGTGTCCCCTACTCCAGATGAGAAGCCAGCCTGGCCAATGCCTTAATTTCTCTTTCATGAGACCCTGAGCAGTGCAGCTCCCACTGCTTTATACAATGGGGGCTAATATAAGGGTGTTTGAAGTCATTAAGCTCTTGGTAAGTCATTATACCATAATAAAAATAATTTAAAAAAAAAAACTCATCTGGGCATGGTGGTGTATACCTTTAATCCCAGCACTTGGGAGGCAGACAGGGCAAATCTCTGAGTTTGAAGTCAGCTTTCTCTACAAAGCAAGTTCCAGGACAGCCAGAGCTACACAGAGAAACCCTATCTAGAAAAAAAAATACTAATAAAAAACTCATTATGTACTAAGATTATTGGATGTAAGAATAATAAGTCACTAGGGAGGTGCTGGCCAAAAGATAAAGCCAGGATAGGAAAAGAAGCCCACAGATGGATTTCCATAATGAGTTTCTAATCCCAGGATCTAGCTAGGCATGAAGCCTGTCCCAGTCCCAAGTGCTCAGATATGTTATCAATGAAATACTGTTGCAATGAGAGCCTGAAATAATTGACCTTTTGTTCACATGAAAATAATCTCAGATACTTCAAAAATATTCTTCAATAGAACCTGAACTAAGACTCAATTTGGTAGGCTGGGTTTTCACTTAAATTGAAAAATGCAGCTGCCATTTCTTGCAGAAGGAATCCTCTGCCAGCCCAGGAGACTCCAGAAGGTTTTCACAGGCTATTTTCTCAGAATTAAAGCAATTTTGAAGAAGAAAGACATATCAACCCAACAGTAAAGATAGTCTAAAGAAGATAGTCTTTCAAATTTGAGGATTTTTGTTTTTTTGTTTTTTTGCATCCATGAATTCAACCCACCACAGGTCAATAATTAAGTTTTAAACTATCTGACTTGATGCATACAGAATCTGCATTACTTTAGCAATGCAGTAGAACAATTCTTTACTTAGACTGTATCTTTTAATGGGTAATAAGCAATCTAGAGATTATATAAAATTCATAGGAAGATGTGCAGAGGTTGCTCATCAACACCATACCATTTTACATAGGGGTTAGTAATCCATGCACTTTTTAACTGTGGGGAGGAGGGTCCTAGAGTCAATCCCCAAAGGATATCAAAAAATAAGAAATAACTATTTTCTCCAGGCCTACTTGGCCTGGTGCCAAAAGATCTCTATCATACATTTTAGATGCTAATATGGACAAATGCCCTCTTCACAGTGACACACACAGACACATGCAAAGACCAAATTCAATACTCAAATGTTCCACTGTTCTGCTTTTAACAAAGTTCAAGTATTAACATATCTTTATATTGGAGAAGCAAGGCATAGAACTCTGAGGCTGATGGTGAGTTACTACAACCACCACAACTCAACAGATACTCTGCAACAGTGCTACGTGAAGGGAGGAGAAACATTTCAGTGTTGACTCTTTTGTGATTATTTAAAAACATCACCTTCGAACAATTACTAAGGCTCAGAGTTAAGCTTTTTATTGAGATCAGGAGATCATTGAATATTGGTTTCATGCTTATAATTACCTACATCTTACCATGTAGACCATTGAATACAAAATGCCCTGTCACTGTTCTGGCCAGTCTGACAGATCCAAAATTCAAGCTAGTTGATATTCTGTGATAAGCAACCTAGGGTTTGGATAGAGTTGTAACATCTGCCACCCAATGAGTCACCAGGGTTGATGTGGCTGTTCTCTTCCCTATCACTGGGTGTATCCCTCTCCTGAAATTGCATGCTAAGCAATGAAGCTAACCTTCTGGTATGGAGAAGTACCATTCTTCTTGAAATGGAACATGAGTAGCTGCAATCCACTACTAGCATCAGCTAAACATCTCCCAAAGTCCAACATGGCATGGTTGCTCATACTTTTCTGTATGTATATTCTACATTCATTAAAACAGTATATTTTGTATCTATGTCCCATAGGCCCATCACTTAGAGTAATGTAACAGGGTTCTTTTGTAAAAGAATTTAGTGTTCCATCAAGTTTAACACGCATTCTAGAGTTTCACTCTTTTGGTTGTTTCCAGAAGTGAGTATGACCTCACTATCCCTCACACCAAGGTAATAACCTCACTTCTCCTGTTCCCCCCTCCCCCGCTTCTAGCTTCTCTTCATTTTCTTTCCATGTCCCAAATCCTCATCACAAAACCTGCCCAGAAGAATGTGAGCTTGCACATACAGCCTACCCCATGGTCCAGAACAAAACCACCCTGAGCATATGTTCTGTGTTCCCATACCAGATGCAATGGAGCCACATTAGCCTGGAGCTGGCACAGTCTCTGCTCAGATGGCAAAAGCCCATGTACACACAGTTCATGTCATTTGCAGACATGATACAGTGAAGGAGAACAGAAAATCTGATTTTTTCAAGCAGAGCTTTGAATAACTGTGCAAGCCATCACAATAGTCCTGTCATTTCCAATCTCTAGAATCAGCATCACCCAGAACCTGGAAAGCTGTTCTAGCCACATCACTTTCCTAGTCATGAGCATCAAAACAATCTGTTGCAGCGTCAGATGTAGCACTCTGCTTGCTCACAGAAGGGAGGAGAGATGTGTGTGCTGATTCAGGCTCATAGATCTTTTCCTTAAAATTCTCTACTTTTTCTGCTTATTCATATGTGGTTTGAAGGCTGTGTCTTTGCGCGGGCACACACACACATACACACACACACACACACACACACCCAATAACATTCTTCTGCATTCTTGTTTGTGTTATATATATGACATTTCTCAAGGATTTAGCCATTTAACTTGGACTTACCAGACATCTTGTCTACCTTTAGTTGTAAATTTCTACCAAATTCTACAATAATAATGATAATAATAATAATAATAATAATAATAATAATTTATTATAATATAATAATGTTGTTATAACATATTATTATTAATCCAGAAAGGAAAAAGAAAAGCACCTAAATATTTAAATGCCTCTTATGGGGTCAAGGAACTTAAGGGTGGAAGAGGGACATATCTTCAAAATGTTGAAACAACAATCTGCCTGAAACTATTAATTTCTCTTCTGGGCATCTCAACATCACATCTATTTATTTTCTTTGATATGAACATAATTGGAGACACCACATACCACCCACTGCTCCAACTTAATGAAGACAAGAGAAACCAGATGAGTATTCCAAGTCGGTGTCTTAAGCCAAGGCATTTATAACAGCAGGTGATCTAATTATATTATACTGATTTCTAACATTACAATCCAATTACATATTTCAAGGAAACTCTAGAATGAGCTAACTAATGCACTGCCCAGTGTAATGGGATGCTATTTGGATTGGAAAATATGGCTCCCATATCTCAAAGCGTATGAAGAAAAACTAGGGTACAGACATCAAATTTTATTATGCTCAGTGACTGAAACAGTAAGCCCATTACATTTGAGGTTACAGACACCAGCTAGTGAGAAACAGGGAAAGGGACTTCCAGCTAAAATTCAATTAAGAAAAAACAAAAAGTTCTACAAATTCTAATTATCACAGCCCTGGTTATATAACCCCAAAGCAAAGTTGGAAAGTATGCAAAGAAATGACAACTGGACTTGGGCAAGGTCCAAGGTGTGGTGAGCATTGTGGAAAATACTATTTTAAGCTTGTTCACACCAACACCAGAAAGAACATTTAGTGAAGTAATGTATCTTTACCACAATGAAAAAGTTCATGTAAGAGCCAAAGGATTTAAGGTTTTAATTGGAAAGACTTTCTGGTGCTGTGAAAGAAACAAGCAATACTGAGACCAGCTAGCTCGCGTTTACATCGGCTATGATGATTCCACCTACCTCATGGAAGTCCTGCTGAGCTCCAAAAGCATCCTTTGGCCAAATGGAAGCCCTCTGGTCTACTCTACAAAATATAAAGGAAAATTATGTCCATTTGAAAGCACCATGTCAACAACTCATGTTTGAAGCTGGTGGCTACAGATCTGGCCATGTTCCTGATGGGAATACCAAGCAGTATCTACCTATAGAAAGCTAACATCCATCCTCTTCAGTGGTCTGAAACAGTGTGTGAGCCCTGCCAGCCTCTTTGACATTAATGTTCTCTGCTGTTTCTCTGGCCCCACTCCTCAGTCACCCTGGCCACCCCTGTTTCCTGAGCACATGGTCCCTATTTTATTTCAAACCCTGAAGCAAGGTACAGGACTTTGAGTCCCTTGCTTTTAGTTTAAAAACAAAACAAGAAACCCTACTCCTGATAGATTCTCAGCTCCAAATCCAGACTTGTCAAATTCTATGCCCAATGGCATACATTATATTGCATACAAATTTTTCTACAAGTGTTCCTACACTGTTATAATAAACAAATTATAGTTTGTATTAAAATGCCAGCTGTCTTAATGAAGATGGTATAAGACATTTAGTCTATAAGTTACTTGTTTTAAAAAGACTTATTTGCAGAAGGTCATTTATAGCAAATACACAGAATATCTGAATATCAATACACAGAATATTCTGAATATCAAAGACAAAGCATCCTCTGAATGGCTACCAAGGTTAATGAGTTCAGCATGTCATAATCCACCCAGAAAGGTTCAGTGAGCAACTCAACACTATATGCCTAACTTCTTCAGGACAGTGAAATTTTCTTTCAAGCCACAAGTTGAACTAACTGTGCAAACAATTGGCTTTTGTGGCTTATAAAGCAGTGGCATGACAAAGACTGTCATCCACACAGCTCCTATAGTCATCAGGAGAAGACTTGGGCTCTCATTCACCAGGTCAAACAAGGGCAGCCACAGTGAGCAAAGAGAAAGGAGGTTTTTCAGGTTCACCTACCCCACATCCTTCAGTCCCATGAGCCACCAATATGGCAAGGAAACAGATGCCTGGGGACAGGGATTAAACCATCCCATCTTTTCAAAATCTTGAATGGGTCCCAAATTCTGCGCTGTCTACAGTGGTTCTCAAACTACACTTCCAAAGTTTCTGTAAACCAAGGAAAGCAGAAGTGTAGAGTTTTTAAGATTGACTTTAAATCAGCGGTACATGTACACATGAGTGCAGGGTGCACAGAGGCCAGAAGACATTGTTGGCACCTCTGGGGCTGGAGCTACAGGCAACTGTGAGTCATCTGACAAGGATGCTGGTGATCTTTCAGCTTAACAAAACTATTAAAATATGCCATTAGTACTATAATTATATAATGATTCTAGTGTGGTGGTTTATGTGACTCTAGACTCCCTGTGTTGTTCTTATATAGCTGGCAGTTAACAGTAAGCACCATTTATGAACAGCCCTTCATATCCTATGAGGTGGCTGTTACTATCACCCTTAGAACTATACAGGTAGGAGACAAAAGACAGATGAACTATTAGGTTTGGGCTTTAGCTCATTGGCAGAGACCATGTATGGCAAGCAAAAGGCCTTGGGGTTTGGATCCTGGACCTGATGAAGAAAGAAAAACAGAAAGTCATGAGGAAAATGGAGAAACACCACAAGGAGACAAGAAGCTAACCAGGACTCATTCTGTAGCTACCAAAGACAAAGAAAAGTATTAAGAGGAGTCCAAGACTTCACCAGCCCTCATCTGTCTGGCTGGACATGCCAGGGGTTTAATTAAATGACTTCATTTAGTCCCCACCAAGAGCACCACATGAGATTAGCATGACCCAATAGGAGGAAGGGTAGTTATATAACTTCATTATTTATTCAATAAGTATTTATTAAGCATCCATTATATACCACAATCTAGATTCACTGCAAAAAAAAATCCACTTTTGGACAATCTGTACATTTCTTTTTAAGATTAATTTCTATTTTTATGTATACAGATGTTTTGCCTGTGTGTGTGTCTGTCTGTGTACCACACCTGTGCCTGGTGCCCACAGAGACCATAAAAGGGCTGGAGTTACTGGTTGCTAGCCATCATATGGGTGCTATGAATCAAACTGGGTCCCTCTGGAAGAACAGCCAGCATTCTCAACGGCCAAGTCATCTTTCCAGCCCTAAGACCTGTATTTTCATGAAAGATAGGACATGAAAAGTAAATAAGCCAACAATGACCTGTGATTCACTAGATGCCAGGGTCTAAGTAGAAAAGGAAACCAACACACAGGAACCAGGACTTGCAAGTGAACTAACTGATCAAGCCCCCACAGCCAGAAAGTACTAATCACCCAGAGACAAGAATGACAGCCTGAATTAAGGGCATTAAAGGTCACAGTGAGGAGAAAAGAAGCAGGAATCTTGCTGGAAAAGCTCAGTAGTAAATGAGGAAATAATGCAGCTAGGTCCAATCCCCTCTCCCCCACACCCTTAAGACACTGCCCCAACCAGGTACAATCCTGCCATGAAATAACCTCATCCATGATACCTGCTCCACACCAAAACTCTTCATTCAATTCTACTGTCTCCCTCTATTCATAATAACAGGAAAATGGCCACATGCCTCCATCAAACCCATGCTTCTGGAAGACAAAGATGAGCAAGGCAGAATACTCTGCCAACTCCACCACAACTTAACCTCTAGCCAAGGCATAGGCAATGGATCACGCAACAAGCATGTACTTCTCGGAGCCCAACAGTGGTTCTCAATACTGATCCCTCATTCATCACAGAGACCATCACTGTGGTTGCAACTATGGCTGCCACAATCACCACTACCACTGCCAACATCTCTACCACCATTAGCAGAGTTAGCGTTATAGATACTATCATCACTAAGAGCACCACAAGCAATACCTCCAACATCATCACCATGAGCAAAGCCTCTACTACTACGCAAGCAATATATCCACTAACACTACCTGAGACACCAATGCCACCACAAACAATACTACCAACATCACTGTGAGCAACAGCACCACAGTTAGCACTAAGTTGTCACTATTGTCATGCTTCTACAATCAGCACCCTCTATCACCATGATACAGTAAATAAAAATACTAATAATACTCAAAATAAAAACACTCTTCAATAGAGAAATATAAAAGTAATTATGTGCTGATATTAAAAGGGTTTCTGCCCAGAATCCACACTTGTGAGTGTGTGGATGGCCCATTGAAGGGCAGCTTTGAAAACTGCCCTTCCCATTTCATTGCATCCTAAAGCATATGTTGAGTCAGGCTGCAGGGCCATCCTGCAGGGGGCTCTCTCTGGGGAGGTATACAGGAATTCAGAACAGCAGAACCAACTAAGCATTAAAATATTTTTCTTGGCCCCAAGACAATGTCAAACCACAGGATGGGATCATTAGTGAAAGAAAGGCTGTATTTTAGCTCTGAATTTTATTTTATCAACATTTTAACTATAATTTAATTAGTAAATGGAAGAGTCCTGTCTCAATCAATGAAAGGCTTCCACCTAGCCAGTAGCTGACAGAAACTAAAGTCCCCTGAACTTTCTCTCAAGTCCAACAGTCAGTATGTCATCGGTACTTCAATTTTATACTGCAAATGGCTTGTTTATCTGTCCCCTCCTCTCCGCACACTCCCCATCCCCACTGCCATCTTACGTAAAGCTACCATTATCCCTCACTGGAATAACAAGTTTCCTTCAGATCTCCCTACCCACTCCACACACAAGATCTGGCCACTCACAGCCCTCTGTCCACTGCAAAGTGTACAGTTCTGAGAATATTATTCAGCAATGGTTGTCAGATGGGTTAGACAACATGGGCAGGCAGAGTGAAGGACAGACATCTACCAATGTGCAGAAGATCTCCCTAAGACCACTCCCAATTTCTCACAGTGTCTTATGACATGGGGAGGACTGAGCCTTGGCCCACCCTCCACTCATGCCATGCCCATCTGTGCTGTGGTTAAAAGAGCCATCCCTCTAGTTCCTCACTCTCACTGTACCCCTACCAAGCTCATGGCTTCAGGTGGATGTCCTTGTGCCTACCATGTTCCTCCTTCCCAATCCTCGTTGTCTCGGAATTGACTCATTTATTGACGCATGAACCTCCCAACTATATCTTCCTTTTATGTGACCTGTTGTGTAGACATAGGAAACTCCTCCATTAACAATTCCATATCTTTACAAATATTTACTAGTCACTTACTTTTGATGGTAAGCTTTGTAGGGCAGGAATCATGAGTTTTGCTCAAAATCTATCTCTACAGCCAATCCCAGCACAGGATGTAGTATAGGTATGCATATATTTGATAAGAAAGTCTTCATCTTAGAGCCCTACACAGATCCAGTTCTGATAAATCATCAAGTGTGCACAACCCATGCTCCTTCCTCTCCCTGAGGCACCTCCTTTCACAAGCAGGTACATTTCTTCCTTGAGAAGACTAAGACCTAGTGAGCATCTGACATCCACAATTTAAAAAACCTGAACAGAAAGAGAGGAATATAAACACCTATGTTCAGAATGCTTCGCAGCAAATTGGGCCTTAGGGTTGAACAGGGCTGACCTCAGATCTCAAGTATGCCACTTGAGCATACTCAAGTATGCTCAGATTCACAGTATGCCACAAATTTAAGCAAGCCTCTGTATTAGGAAGCAACACTTGGGATGCAGGCATGTATAGTGGTGGTATGACTGTCATATCCTGAAACTCTTTTGAAAACAAAAGATATATCCCAAGAGGGCAACCCCAAGCAAAACATTCATGTCATTACAATAGCTCTATATACAGACACAGACAAGATGCCAGGAAACGCCAGCACTATTGTAATAGCAACAGTCACCACCCTCGGCACCAGCTTTATAAAGGGCCTTTCTGTAAGGTATCTGCAATGCACCAAAGACATTCTCTTACTTGTCTATTTTTAACCATATGTATTCTGTTTGGAGGGCATGTGTACATAAATACAGGTACCGCAGAGGCCAGAAGAAGGCAGTAATTCCCTTGGAGCTGAAGTTACAGGCAGTTGTGAGCTGCCCATTTTGAGAAC